TATAAGTGCCGATAAGTTGAAAATATCTCACTTTTAAATCTGGACCGACGCATTTTTATAAGAATCGGAATATATACAAGCACGGAAGCTATTTAAGAATACATTTTCGATCTATGCTTTTTCCTCTGTTACCTCGTACTGGTAACAGAGGAAATAGCATAGACTCTTTATAAGTGTGCAGTAAGCGGCAAGTTCGCTTGTGTATATGCTTTGTGTTAATATGTGTAGAAGACCGCTGAGTCCAGTGTATCTCCTAATCGAGCATTCTTATTTGCCTCTCTCGTTGTATATGTACTATGTATCAAAGTAAGAACGAATGTATGTTAAGATTACAAGGTATCGCCTAGTCAAATACTCCCGACTAAGGCACTCCTTCTTGCTTTCATTATGTGAAAGTGTTTTTCTGACTTTGTTGGACCCCCATACATACTTCTATACATAGTAACGGCATTTATAAAAGAAAACTTCTAAGTGATTCTTAAAAGCTAAGGCGCCATTATGTTAATAGTACAGAAAAGAAATTTATGCTGGAGAGACCCCGTGAAAACACAATACAAAATGCACAACCTGGTCTATCGTCAGATTAATGAACTTATAAGCTATAGAATACTGCTAAGCTGACAATCGTATCATCCATACCCATTATTGATCTAGTACCTTTTAGAGCACCTATACATCTAAGTGTAGTTATGTTTCTTATGACACAATATTTACTATTATTTATACTAATATTTAAACTAGAAAGACTCATCATGTTTGCGACCAATTTGAATAATTAAGTTGGATGTGCATAGCCCAAAATATTAAGGTAGAACGCAAGAATATATTCAACATGGCAAAGTAAACTCAACAAAGTCCTCTTTATGGCAAATTTTTAATCAGTTCTCATGGTTCCGTCCTAAAATAAACCTTTTAAGCCTTTTCTTAGCTCCAAGCCACGCAACTTTTCTGAACGCCAAATAAAAATTCTTGAAGAACAGTTTTCCCCCTCCTGGATTTTTTATTCAAACTTAACGCCGCTCCGTGTTTTTGTGCAAGTCATTTACAGAATAGAATTCTTGATTAAATTGGAGTACATTTCGTGTTTCTCCCTCCTGGCCCGGCGTTAGCAATGGCGGCTTACGAGCAGCAACTTCAGCTCCCAACCTCTCGTTTACCTAGCTCGTTGGTTGTTCAGGTGGGCGGGTCTCGATTTCAGCATATAAAACAGAGACCGAAGCAGAGTGATGCGGCGCGTGGTGTGCGGACTGCTTTTTTAAAGAATATTTGCTGCATATTCAAGCGGCTGTCGGACCCTCCTCGACTCACTAAACTGAACGTCAACGAAAATACAGGACCGAAAACTCTCGTACCTGAGTTTGTTGAAACATGCGAAACTTATTTTGCAACTTTTATGTCCACGAGCAGCAGCTTTTATTTTTTCCCAGGTACATTTTTCTTTTTTTTTTTAGTTCTTCACATTTTGCTCTTTGGCTCAAATTACAATTGCACTGAGCGAAAATGTAGAAGCCTTCAGAAAGCTTAACGCTAGGATTTTCTTTTCAATTGACCATCAGCTTTTACAGTGTTATAATTTGGAGCTCAAGTTCACTGCCTTTAAATTTTTAAGTCATCCGAGTTGAAACTGAATTGATTTAGCTGACTAGCTGCCAGTTTTTTTGAGTGCAAAGCCTGCATAAAATCACCAGTAAGAAAACTTAGAAAGCCCTTGGTTTGGAGCAGAAGAGGAATCCAGAACCGTGACATATCCACGCCTTTGGCTTGAGTTTGGGGCTGCGTTGCATGGCAAGATGCCATCGCTATTCAGATGGCTAGCATCCGACAGAAACAGAAACAGAAACGTGAATGTCTATGGGGATGGGGCGATGGCAAACCAAGCATAAAATGATATTTCTAACCATCCTCGGAGCATGGAACGGGCGTGGCGAGAATGCTGCCCGTGTCACAGCCATTGGATGTGGCTGGCTTAACTTTTCCTGGATTAGGAGGGGTGAAGTCGAAGGCGATTTTAAATCATCATCAACTAACATCGATACACATCGATAATTCAGCCGAGTTATGTAAATAAATATAGATGCATTTAGAGATACAGCATCAGAGTCGCAGACACAGATACGATGTCACCTCCTTAAAACAAGCACACAAAGATAATGAGTACAGCTAAAAACCCGAAAAGCAACGGCATAAAAAGGACGCACGAACACATGCGGCTGTCTAATGGCTTGTTTTGTTTGTGTCGCTGAGCGAGTTACGCGGCTGGAAGGCTGTGCACCAAATACGCAGCGGGAATGGCCTCGAGACAGGCTGCAAAGAGGCTGCCGCAGCGGCACAAAGGCCGTTTGGTCTGGTCTTTAATAGTTTTATTGACCGAGCCATGGAATCCTTTCAGTATTAGAGGTCGCTCCAGTTATGGATGTGCGCATGAAATATTAAATTTGAATCTCACAATCACTCGAAGGTCACTTGCCAGCACTACATTTTATCAGACTGCTCTCGTTTTCATGTGAAACGCGCCAATGTTGCCCCTTTTCATTGTTGTCCTGCTTTTTACAGTCCACATGACTGACGATTATGAAAGCCTTGAGAGCAATAATAAATATAATTACCGTTGCAATCAACAACAATCAACAATTGAGAACTGACACCCTCATACTCTCTAGTTTACAACTCACAGCACAGCAATGAAATCCGAACTCTGCTGCTCCGAATATATTGTCCTTGCCCAAATTGCCCAGATTGGCTTGCATCAGAAATCTTTCTGTTCTTGTATAGTCCAAACAGCCTACGCATATTTATGCTGAACATGCTTGAACTCCGAACTCATCATCATAAAACAAGGCAGCGACACTCACGAAACAAGGCACGACGGAACTATGAAAGGGATTGAGCAGCGATATTTGTGCCCAACTAAATTAGTGGAATTCAACACGACCTTACCCCATCTACCAATGCGGAGCACCGATAATACATAGCAATGAAGTAGAAAATGCCGAAAAGCTCTAAGGCATCTCGCTCTAGGTATCACTTCCTGATGCCTGGAGAGATGGTGTCGCAAATCCGTGGGAGGGGTAGACTATCACATTGACATGCGAAGATGGGCTCCGATTAATGGCTAGCAACTGAAATGCCAACGAAACGGAAAACTAATTCCGTCGTTTGTGAGTTAAATGGCGGGCGCGGATCATCACAAGCTGGAGGTGACCCCAACAAAGTTTGCTCACAGTGGATACATTTCTCCATTATCAAAGTATTTTTGAACTGGGAAAATACCCAAAAGATTATATGTATATTATATAAAACATACAGAATTATTCATCTGCAGAATATGTTGAATTGCATATCATTAAAAATATAATATCCCTTAAATAATTATAAATCGGAACTCAATAAAATATGTTACTGTTAAAGTATTTTAAAAGAAGTATTTTTTGGATATATATATTCAAGTATCTGTAAATGCCTTAACCCATTAAATTTGATTTAGTATTTTGGGACAAGCACTGGGTCTGGGTAAAGCCGATTAGTTTTATAAATGTGACTCCTGTACCACAGTGCCAGTTTCTTGATTGTGGGCACGTTTTTCCTACTGGGCCGAACATTTGCAGCTTAGATAAACGATTTCTAATAAAATACGGCATTGCGCGTCCGCCTGAAATACTATTCCTCCCGCCTTGGCGTGAGCTATGTTTGGCTTCCTGCAAATCTTCCCGGGTCGATGACGGCTCCCGTTACAAGTATTTTTGGGCGGTAGCGGGGCTGCGATGTTATCAGGTTCAATTGTTGCTGCCGCTTCGACTCCTGGTCTTAGTGTCAGTGGGGCATGACTTGCTGTGCTGTCGCATAGAGGATGGCGATGATGGCGCTCGATGGGGCAATAAATTGCATTAAAATGCGCAACGCACAAACGCACGCCCCCTATTCCCCTCACACGGGACTTACTTCTAATGCTCCCAGCCGGATACAAAACCTTGCCTGCCTCGACTTTGCCTAAGCGACGGCACTTATTTCTAGCCGCTTCTCGTTGCGCGTGTATGTTCGCCAACGGTGTGTTTGTCATGGGAAGGAGGGGGCTCTGGGGATGCGGCTCTTTTGTAGGTGGTTCCAAGGCAAGCGGTATTTTATTTATTTTTATTGGCAAATGTCAACGAGGCGTTTGTTTCTTTGTTTGCCAGCATCAAAAGCACGGAGATATACCAGGGTTTTTGTTAGTATGTCAAATCTTAATAGGACTGGTAGTTTTCATAAGTTCTTTGCATTACAGCCTACATATTTCATGTTTATTTAAAGAATACTTTTAGTTACACATTGGCGATTTCAGAATTCCAGAAGTCATTAATTTTTACGGATTTGAGCTCATCCGCTTTGAGGATAAAAAGTGCATATGATATAATTTTATAGAAAACCATGCAAGGCCCACTCTCGCCTCATAAATCGACAACAAATAAACCCAATCTCAGTCTTAAAGATGGTATCACGCAACTTAGTTGATTATTATTTATGAATTTCAAGATCTAACAAAATGAGCCCATAGCTTTAGAGCCACAGCTACAAAATCAGTCTATATTCCAACTTGTTTTCAATATGAAAATAGCGAATTTTTTTAAAGAATATTAATATTGGATAAAAATATCCAATTGTGGCGTAGTCAAATAGCGACTATGGTGCTTTACTTTACTTTAATCTACTTGAAAACACTTGACACATTCGTCAACTGAAGGGGCATATAACTTGATTAACGGGAATTATTGCCATATAAAAACATAATATAAATAACATTGTAGATTTTTGCATATATAGTTAAATTTCCAAATAAACTAAATTTAGCGTGTTCTTGAAGCAAATATATATTTTATTTAGATAGGACTATTTGTTGTCTGGAGCATTTCAAAAAGTAATATTAGTGCTCAGATTATGTAATCAAATAATTGAATTTTTGTTGTATCAGATTTTATAACAAAAATTCGATTGATATTCAACCGTTTTATTTTACGCGCAGCCACAAAAAACAATAAATTAATTATATGTATTTTTTTTTAATTTCTTAATTAACTTGTTTCTTTTAGTGAAAATATACAAAATGCCGTCGGATAAAACCAATGGCGGCAAATAAAGAACCTGGTCGCAGAATATGAGAGCAAACGGCTGTGAGAGCGCAGACGCAATTAAATGGAAGAAGAGAACGCGTTGTCATAGCAACGGCTGCGGCAGCCATCTTGGATGTGAGAGAGGACCGTCTGTAGCGGCCATGCTGTTGGCAAGCCACCGACACTCACCTGCGGCGGCGGCTATTGTGAAGTTCTGTGACGTGACTGAAATATCGGAACCAGAGCTGCCGCAGAGCAGGCAAATGTTGTTTGTGCTTGTGCGGCGACTTCTGCCAGGCCACAGTGCCGCAGCTGCGACGTTCGCGGCGGCCGGTAAACGAGTGCGCCTGCGTTGTGCCCGGACTCCGACCTCGTCTGGCATGTGGATGGATGGCAACAGAGACAGCGGCAGTGGCAGCGCAGCGGCTGTGTCGAGGTATGTAACGGAATGAAATGAAGTGGGCTATAAGTGCATACTGCTCTACCCAAGGCAATGTCATTCATTGGGGGTTGAAATGATCAGTGCGAGTGTATAAATAAATGAGAAGGAGATGTATACATATGTGTATTGCGGAGTTAGAGGGTTGCAATCGGATACACGAACCATTTCGATGTTGTCTTTGCTAAGTTTAAAAGTGAGTAAAAAGGGCAAATAAGATTTTTAAGAAGTTAAAAACACTAGTTGGGTTTTTTTTATTAGGATTTTGTACATACATTAGATATTAGATATCATAAGATATTTTGGTTTTAACCTTCAGCACAAAAAATGGATTTTGGCTTTTGTTTAATATATCTTTTTCTACAGCACAGCTGAAAATGTTTAAAATCAAAACGCGGTAAACGCTGCTTTATGCTCGCCCACCAATACATGGAAAGCTGTCATCGCATTTGTGTTAGTGCTTGCGCTCTTTGCTATCCAATTGTGCTTGTGTGCGTGCGCGTTCTCTTAAACAGTGGTCTCTTAAGAGCGGCAACCTGCATTGGTATTGGTATTTGTGCGACTCTCTTGGCCGGCTCCGCAGCTCTCTTAAGTGGGCTCTCTGCATGGGTGCACCTGTTCAAGCACTACTGACTCTCTTAGAGTCGCTTTTCTTTGTTGTGTTTCGCGTGCATTGTTTTGGTCTTCGTGTACGCTCTTCACTATGCGCTCTTTTGTGAGTGCTGCCGTAATTTGCTTATTGGAAGCATTTGTTCAGACTTCTATTGCACAGACCCACCCCTCTGTATACAGTTAGCATGCCCAGTACGTTGGCCAATGCAACTTCTATTCCGATGGGATGCCGCAGCGCAGCTTGAAATCTTGTTAGAATTTATGAGAATCTCAAAGTCCTGCGCAAGTTTCTGAGCTTTGGGTAAATGCAATTTCCTTTTTTTACGATTTGCTCACGTTCATTGCATTCTTTTCGGTTCGGTTCGCTTTCACAACTTTTCGTCTTCGTCTCTGTGTTGCGCAACCCTTATAGGGATTTTGTTGCGCAGGAAAATATAATGCGCTCTTCCTCCATTTGGCAACAATCTTAGCTGCCGATGCAATTTAGCAATGCAACTCGCTGCTGGGTGGGTGATTGGCTGTGCATCTTAATAACAATACCCTCCCTGCTGGCTGTTGGCTGCTAGCTACTGCCAATGCTGATAAGAATGATTGGCACAATTGCAACAAGAACAGCAGGAGCAGGAATTCATCAACAGCAAACAATGCTTTTAGCAATGAGTTCAGAGCGTGAGTTGCCTGACTAGAATCCCATTTTACTATACCAGCAGTGACTGATTCTAACTGGATTCTGAATTTTTGGTGGTTCGAGTCTGGACTAATTGTCAATGACATACCAAATGTCTATTACTCTTACTTCGATCGTATTTCGCTTTCTGCTCATGCCCCTATATCGATAACTATCTACATCTACAGTTTCATATTCCATTTAAGCGATGATGGAAAAGAAAGGGAAGAGTATGCAACGCAGTGTTATAATTTTGTGATAAAGTGTGAACTTCTACTTGCATTCCCAGTCGGAACAGCATTTCATTCGTCACAGCTTGACCTTAATGTTCCGAACAACTAAATTTGTATACCAGAACAGACTGTAGGTATATTTATATATCAGTACATATACATATATGCATATGTATTGCTCGTTAAAGCCCACAAATTTATTAATTAATCTTCTAAATGAAAAAATCAGTAAATACATGATTATTATATTTGCGATATGCTTTATGAATGAGTGCAGAAATATATGTAGATTTTTTTATTTGTAATTAAAAAGGCATTAAATTTGATATTTATTTACTCACGCAAATTTGAATAGGAATAATCATTCATACTTCTACTTTTTCGAATCTACATGTCATAAAAATGTTTAGTTGTTTATTGAATCTGGGAATCTCTGTTTGCAGCTCTGACGTCAGTTGCGATTGCATCGCTTAGAGGAAATTGTCGTTAGCTATAAAACAAGTCGGAAAGGGAAAAAATTAAGTATGTGCAAAGTGCGATAAATAAACAGAACGAGAACTTAAAACCGAAATCAAATTGTAAATTGCTGCAAAATATTGTGGGTAAAGACATAAATCGCATAAAGCGCAAAGCTACCGTAAGCTCATTGGAAGCACTTCCCCTCACCAAGATTGACAGGCAGGCCCGAGCGGGATTTGGTTCTCGAATCTTGTGTTGTGGACTGCTTGAACGGACGTCATAATCGTTTCAGTGACAAAACATAAATTTTGAGTTTTACGATTTAACTGGGCTATAAAGCAGCCAATTAGTGTCAGTAGAGAAGACTAAACCGAAGACGAGCGCGAGCTCGGGGCTGCAAAAGTGGCACGGGCATTGGCCATTGGTATTGCATTCAGATTGGTCCGAGAACCAGTCATGGCGGGGGAGGGTGACGAGTGGAAATGGGACTTACGCATCTACCTTAGGGGCACTCACTCAGGTTGTGGATTCAGCTCTTGCCTAGGGGCACAAGTGAGAAGTGCATTTAATTGTTTTATGATAATTTTGACAGCCCATTAAAAGTATTGAGCCCCACTCTGAATTCCAGTAGGCTTTTCATTTGGCTGGAAAACTGCTGCCAGCTCAACGCATAACTTTGCATTGCGATCAAGTAACTTTTTAAGGTGCTGCCTAATATACGACTTTTTCGACACACGCAACCATCGCGAGCCCATAGCCATACAATTTCTCCGTCTCGGTCTCAATCCCAGTTCCTGTCCAAGTGCGAGTCTCAATGTGTAGAACAGCAGCGGGTCATAAAAGTGATGACAATTGGTTTTTTTTTTTTTTATTACAAAGCTTCGCGGCGTCGCCTGCGGTCTCCGCAGCACAGGTGCGTCCGGACGGGATGGTGAGCGGGGCGGTGTCGGGGCGGGGCATTGTGCGGCAAGTAAATATGTCTGTTCCTTAATATTGTTGCGTTCTTGAATAATTTTTATTGCTGTAAAACACAATGCCAATTGTTGCTGCTGATTGTCAGTTGTGGCCTTCAATGTATTTATTACAGTGGGCGAAAATCGACTGCATACCTTTCAAATATTCTCATCACAGTTGAGGTATAGCCGCAGTTCGTTCAATCCAATCAAACTTTGCCTCAAAAATAAATGTTCTTCTCCACAGAATTCGAATATAATATAATCTAATATCTCTTGTAACATTCATTTGATTAAAAACAAGATCTTCCAATACGAGTAAGGATTATCTTATTCCTATGCAAGCCTGAACAAGTCCTGCATATCAAGCAGCTAGCTAACATTCGCAACATCCCTAGAAATGTGGCTGAATACCATTTGTAAGTCAATATTATTTTATTTATAATTGATATTTTATGCCTCTTACATTTGATAAATAGAAACTTGCAAAATTATAAAACTGAGCATGGTTAGTATTCTATAATTAAAATACCAAATGCTATGCACCGATTGTTGGACGCTCGTATCTATAATGGGCCCGAGTCTAATAGAAATGGTCACGGTGCACTTGCGTCCGATTTGAATTGCATTGGCAATCGATTGACTTTACCGACATGGTACCATGGCCTCTTGGGCTCCACTCAACAATCTAATCAAGAGAACGGTAGCTAATTGGCATTGGCAATGGCTAGGAAAGCCTGGGCATAGTTAGCAGCGGCAATGTTTATTTGTGAATGTATCTTACTCTGGAGTGTGTGGCTCTGACTGTTGAGCCACTTGACGGCATTTACTGCATAAGTTTGCCTTTAACTTCAACTTCAACTTCGGCGTACAAATAGCTCGTAGGCTCGTGTACTGTTGAAACAAATAAAATGGCTTACGGGCCGCAGTGTGAATGTGCAACTAATTTCAAAACAAATAAACATACTACAAACAGAAGCAGAACAACAACAACCCAGGAACGGCAGCAGGCACAGATGTCGGCCATGCCAATGGCTTGAAGCTCGAGCTAAAGGCCCCAGCCAGGTGAAGTGAGTAAACAAAAATGAAGAATGTCCGCTGATTGATATTATCCGGTGCTTGCCACACTACATGCACACACACACAGATATATATAGACAGACAGAATGGTAATCGAGAATGAATTTCCATTTAGCATTTCCGTTGCGGCCATATTTCATTTACGCTGTCAACATAAGTAGCGGCCGCGATTGTAAGGCATTTAGTATGTACTGAAGATATTGTATCTTATTAGCATTCCATTTAAATATAGCCACATCTAACATACACTTTATACTAATCCCATTTACCTTATCAAGAAGCTCATTCGCATCTTAGTATACAATGGGTAGATCCCTGACATCCCCAGTCAGCGTGTAATAATGGAATATAACAGACAATTTGCGACGACTTACGTTAAAAACTGCTCAAACTCCTTTCTTGTGGTATTTGATTAAGAATTAATATAAATTAGATAAAGCAAATCGCAATTTTTGCAATTAACTCTATATATGTAGGTATTTTTCTTAAATTATTTTCTGTTTCAGTTCAGCTGAAATGAAAAGTACAAAAGCCAAATCATTTAATTTAGTTGAAAGCTTTTGAAGTTCACCGTGGATTAATCTTATTTTCTCTCTGCAGTCTCTTTCACTTATTTGCTATGATAAAATTAAACATTTTCACTAGACTCAATGTTGAAGAAAGCTAAGGAAAGGCAAACGAAAAATGGGAAACTTAAAATATATTTGACGTGACCCGCCAAAGACATAAATATATACATACAGATTGTGAAATGGGAATGCGTGTGTATCTGGGAAATGTCTAGAAGCGATTTACTTAAGTTTCCATTTCGGTTTCTGGCGTTCTGCCTATGTGTTTTTCTTCACTCGATGTATCTATACCCTGTACATTCTGAAAATGGGTGATATATTTAAGTTGTGCCATCATATGTAAGAGACAGAAGAGGGTATCTTCGTCTTCATAAAGAATACCAAATCAAGCTTCAGGTCCATTTTATTAGATAACAGAAACACA